CGAAAGTACCAGAGTTACTGACCTTACTACGCTCTTTTAAATTGGAGGACCAACAACAGAGATTCAAAGCTCCGCATGGGACCTCAACGTAGTTCTCGACATCTCACCAGTGACGCCTCACACGAACCATTAGAGAGGACATCCTTCGAGTTCTTGACGCAGAAGACGCTGTTCCTGATCGCCTTAGCAACAGCAGCAAGGATGTCAGAAATACATGCTCTGGACTTCGAGAGAACACGATTTGATGAAAATCAAAACACCATGCATATAGGACTGAGATGGGACTTCATCGCAAAGAATCAACTGCCAGGTCAACCGGACAGACAATTCCACGTCCCAGCACTATCATCAGTCCTTGGACCACAGGATACGCAGGACCTATCCTTGTGCCCAGTGAGAGCATTGAAAGTCTACCTACAAAGATCCAGGACCAGGAGACGGAAACTCAAGCGTCTTTTCGTCCCGATATCGACAGCGACACAGACGGAGGTCTCCCGCACCACGATATCAATCTGGATCAGAACTGTCATACTACGGGCCTACAAAGCAGCAGGACTGGATCCTCCAAGAGCCTCCAACCCACACGAAGTTAGAGCTCTGGCGTCAACACTCGCTCTACATGGGAATTGCTCTATCAGGATGATAATGGAGGGCTGCTTCTGGAAATCAGACATGGTGTTTGCCAACCATTACCTGAGGGACATCGCCACCGAGGACGTCTCCGGCATTCACCGTTTCGGCCCGCTGGTTGTTGCACAACAGTTGACAGTCCCTCAAAGGCCCTGAGACGAAGTATCGTCCTTTTATCACATGACTTGCAAAAGCCTACACTCAGAAGAGTTCAGCTTTAGAGTCTATATGCACGTCTAAGGACAGACTAGCATAAGTGATATGACCCAGTACTTGTAAGGATACGCGTACAGGAAAGGGTCGCTTCTCCACTTGATACTTGCATCAAGAGATGGAGTCGCAAAATCCACATAAAATGTTAACAGAAGCCAGGACCAAAAGTTAACAATTGTGGTCCCCCCCGTCAGAAACAGCTGGAAGTACAGGGTTACAGCAGCAGCAGAGACTAGCAGTGAAATAGAAGTGCCAACAAGAAGTTCCCATAGGGGGGTATATAAGACGTAAATCACTACATGAAATCCAGAAGTAGCTTGACCCACCATCAAATCCGACAGATTCTACAAGCAATAAGCATGAGTCACGATAAGGAAAAAAAAAAAAAAATTCTGAATAAAATTGATATTTTATACTTATCCTGACTCATGAGGTAAGCCCTCCCAACCTCCCCACTAGACACTTTGGATTTCCCTACAAATTAAAGTGTCGGGCTCATAATTCGGAGAGAGTGAAGCATGTGGGAGCGGTGGCGCCACTTTTCCCGCCAAAACGGCCAGACAGATAACTCATGGTGAGTAGTGATTTTACGTCTGTTTTTATTGAAGGGAGCTTCAATAGAAGATACAAGTGTTTCACTAACGTTCGCAAGAGGAAGGAGACAAGCAATAAGCATGAGTCAGGATAAGTATAAAATATCAATTTTATTCAGAAAATTACATTTTCATGATCACATCTGTCTCATTGTTTCAGAATACAGCGAATTAGTCATTTTTACAATCTGACTGAGGAAATTGTGATCATGGAAACATGAAAGAAAATACCACAAAATACAAAACAGGACTGCAGAGGGGAAATACATTTACACACACGCATGCACACGCACACACACACACACACACACACACACACACACGGAAAATAAAAACAGTAAATGAAGATATTTGAAAAACCTACAGTATGTATTTTGGCATGTGCATTCTTACACACATGCCTGAATAATAAGCAAATTGTTAAAAATCAAATATTAACAGTACACAACACTTGTTCATATACTATGTTAATCTCCCACAATATTTGATGTAAGTGGATTTTTTTGTTTGAGCACATTGAGCCACAGGAATTCAAGTTCAAATTAAGAACTACTTTCCTTTCCCAGGGTATTTGTTTAAATATCTGTTTTCACTTCTGAACATGCTTCAGTATATGTACAATGAAGCAAGTTGCATTCAAGCAGTCTGTCCCAACTACCTGTTCATTCTTCCAATCTCCGACATAATTAAATGTCTACCTCTCAAGAAAGCTGCTGGACCAGACCAGATTAGTCATCAGTTACTTAGAAAAACGGTCGAGTCTATAAGCCCAGTACTGTGCATATTATTTAACATGTCACTTAATTTATCAGTATATCCTAGCCAATGGAAATATGCAAATGTTATGCCCCTATTCAAGAAGGGTGATCACTCAATTGTATCAAATTATCGCCCTATTTCACTTATAAGTTGTGTTGGGAAGCTGTTTGAAAGAGTTGTATTTAAACATATTTACAATTACTTTATTTCAAATGATTTGTTATATAAATATCAATGTGGATTCGGAGAGGCCACTCTACTGTACAACAACTTGTTGAAATTTATAACCAAATCTGTATATCACTAGATAACAAAGAACACTATTGTATGGTCTTTTGCGATGTATCTAAGGCCTTTGATAGAGTTTGGCACAGAGGGCTTATGCTTAAATTGGAGAGGTAATGGAGTAATTGGAAAGTTACACGATTGGTTTGATAGTTATGTAAGAGGTCGCCAATCAATCAGTTTCTGTTCACGGCTCGTTATCTAAGCCTTTGGTTTTAAAAGCAGGAGTTCCACAGGGATCAGTTTTAGGTCCCTTTCTTTTCATCGTGTATGTAAATGAGATAGCAGATAAACTACATTGTATAACTTTCGGCTTTTTAAGCTGACGACCGTCACTGGGAGCCTTGTCAAAAGAAAAGCATTTGATGGAAAGAATAATGAAAGAAAATCTACAAATATTATGTAATTGGGCAAAGGACTGGCTAATTTCTTATAATCCGGACAAAACGGAAGCTATGCTATTTCTTACTCTAAAGATGGCCAAACAGACATTAATCTGAAATTTGACAATTGTCATGTAAAACCGGGTTGACTTTCATAAACATTTGGGACTAACATTTTCATGTAATGGGGGTTGGCACCATCATATTGAAAGTATTGTTAAAAAGACTTCTAAAATGATTGGAGCATTTCGAAAGTTAAAGTTTCTCCTGAATAGAACAACATTGTCAAGCATATATACTGTATTCATAAGACCACATTTCGAAAGTGCATCTGAAGTATGGGACGGTGTTCTATTGAAGAATCTAATAGATTAGAAAAGTTACAACTTGAAGCGGCTCGTATAGTTACTGGTCTGCAGAGATATGCTTCTTCTAGATCATTATACTTTGAAACGGGATGGGATTTACTATCTGAGAGAAGAAGGGTGAAAAAATTATCGTTATTTTATAAGATACATACAGGCCTTGCTCCAAGTTTTCTTTATGATTTACTCCCTCCTGTAGTAGGTAGTCGAACAAATTATGAATTAAGAAACTCCAGTAATTACACTCAACCCTGTACAAGACTACGATATTCGACTCTATCCTTTTTCCATCAACAATTAAACTGTGGAATAACATAACCTTAGCTATCAGAAACTGTAAATCTGTTGTGTCTTTTTAAAACTGCAGTTCAAGTGAAACAAAATGTGCACTCGTATATTTCTCATATGGGGAAAAGGAAACTAAATGTTTTGCATACAAGATTAAGATATATGACAAGTACACTTAATTATGATTTATTCAGAATTAATGTTAGAAATGATGCACTTTGTCAGTGTGGCCATAATTGTGAAAATGCTTTTCATTATTTTCTTGAATGTCCATTATATATAATTCAAAGAGAACAAATGTTAACCTCTTTAGAAAATATAGTGAATAATAGAGCATGTATTGATATTAATCTCATCTTAAATGGCAATGCAGGTCTCTCGCTTAGCGAAAATCAAAATGTTTTTAAAGGTGTACATATCTACATCCATAACACTAAACGATTTAAATAACTCTGTCTGTACATATCTATACCCTTTGTCTGCCTCTTGTTGTAATATACACTTGTAACTATGTGGAGAGGGCTTATTTAAGTTGGATAACTTGTGCCCAATCCGTTTCTTAATTGAATAAAATATGTTTCAATCAATCAGTCTACAAACCAATGACTCAACAAAGAGAACTAATATTAAAGTGAAACCTAGTATAGAAGTGTTAGGTTGTATGAACTGTGAAGTATTTTACTAAAGTTACAATATCTAAAACCAGTACCTAATTTGATTACACAGGTAATGAAGCTGAGAAATATGATTGAGAAATAATGAGGTTTGTGGACAATAATGTTTTCTGAATATTTGTTGTATAACTGTTTATTCCCCCCGGCATGTAACGTCCGTCTGTCCGTAATCATTTTGTTTCCAGAGCATAACTAAAAAAATGTTCAATATTTTTCAAGAAAAATTGTTAGATATATCAAACAGATACTAAAGTGGTGCCTTTTGCTATTTGCAGATTTGTCATTTTTATTTTTCTTGGTTTCCATGGAAACATTTTGGACTCAGTCTAAACAGGGACGAGTGGGCTTCATTTCCGGAGCTCAACTCGAAAACCGTTCAGTGTCTTTCTACAAGAATTGGCGTATATGATAATAAAATTATCAAACAGGTCTTGAAGTGGTACCTATTGCTATTTGCAGATTTTTGGCATTTATATTTTTCATGATTTTCATGGAAATGATTTGGACTTAGAAAATCAAGTTAGATGAATCGTTCTTTCAAATTCGTGGGGGCCAAGAGGATTTGTCATCTTTTGATGACTCTTGTTTATTGTGGAAGAACATTACCCCACAAAAACCATTACATCTGACATGCAATTACTGTCATTAGTTAACATATCCAAGACAAATATTTACAATTGCAGGGGATGTTGATGACCTTTTCTAGTCATTTTGAATATTATGATCTCTGGCAATGTTCCTTTACAGTTTATTGTTGTCTCAATTGTAGTAAACTAGATGTATTACATCAGTCATTCTGTCTGATTACAGTTTGAGGCTCAAACTTCGTTTGGTTCCATCTACAAGACCAGAATTGAGGGCAGCTCCATGTTTTGTGACTACTACAATGCTCAACAGAAAACATACTGCAAGCGATTAAAGGTCCTCTGCCCAGAACACACGAAGGAAGCCAAAGTAAGTATAGACATGTTAGTTGAAAATTAGTATGTAAAGTCATGTTAATTAGTAGCCACAGTTTGTCTTGACATACTAGTGAGAAGCCACAGTTTTGTCTTGACATACTAGTGAGAAGCCACAGTTTGTCTTGACATACTAGTGAGAAGCCATAGTTTGTCTTGACATACTAGTGAGAAGCCACAGTTTGTCTTGACATACTAGTGAGAAGCCACAGTTTGTCTTGACATACTAGTGGGAAGCCACATTATTCACAACAATCACTATACTATTGTGTCTACTCACACCTCCAAGTGTAGTTGACAGAAAATGGATACATGTTTTGTTTCATTAAAAGTCATAATTGGTGTAGCTGAACAATTACTTGTCAACAAACTGTTTTCGCAGTGGAAATGGCAAGATCGCGCGAAGCCTCATCGGTGACAGGTCAAATTGTTCCATACATAAAAACTATCTGGCAATACACTAAAGTGCAGGCGCATAACCTTAGTTATGATCATAAATATTTTACATTGATAGAGCAAAACCTGCAATTGAAATGATGCAATGCTAGAATATATTTCTGGTTATAAAAAAATAGTAGTTTCTACTACTATATTGTTCCTATCTTTGCATCAGAATTAATCTCCTTATATTATTGCGTATGTTTTAACTAAATCACTGGTAGTCGTGGGGAACGCGATGTGCACAGCTGATTGCTATTTCCAGCTCTGTGTAATGCGAGACAAATACACACGGTAATCTTAATCCCTGCATATAATACAATGCCTAGCAAAACAAATTAGAACTGAAAAGGTAAATAATCTTGTTTAGTGATGTTTAATTGCAAATTTGACGTCTTTACTGACAAAGTCGTCTTCTGTTGTCTGTTCATGCGAAGTGATTCGAGTCGTTTTCTTACCCCTGAAAAAAAGTACGGTAAAAATATAACGGTAACTCATCGTGGCAGTGTCTACGGTAACGCACAAAAGTTGTCCTATCCAGACCGCACTTTACAATACAGACAAATGAGTAAGTCCCAGGCCAGGTCCGTAACAGACAGATTCCACTGTAATGACTTTAACAAGATAACGGCGTTAATAGGATTGTTATTTCATCCTTTGATTCTGAGCATTATCTTTGAAATTGTGAAATTAATGTAAATTTGAGCTGTTTCTAACCATTTTTCTAAACTTTTCCAAATTTTGAATACCGGATCACAATACCAAAACAGGTGTTCTAAAGTTTCTCATTCTTTATTACAAAAACGGCAAAGGGGTGATTCCGATATCTTTATTTCTAGACATACTAGTGAGAAGGCCCAGTTTGTCTAGACATACTAGTGAGAAGCCCCAGTTTGTCTAGACATACTAGTGAGAAGCCCCAGTTTGTCTAGACATACTAGTGAGAAGCCACAGTATGTCTAGACATACTAGTGAGAAGCCACAGTTTGTCTAGACATACTAGTGAGAAGCCCCAGTTTGTCTAGACATACTAGTGAGAAGCCACAGTTTGTCTAGACATACTAGTGAGAAGCCACAGTTTGTCTAGACATACTAGTGAGAAGCCACAGTATGTCTAGACATACTAGTGAGAAGCCAGTTTGTCTAGACATACTAGTGAGAAGCCACAGTATGTCTAGACATACTAGTGAGAAGCCACAGTTTGTCTAGACATACTAGTGAGAAGCCACAGTTTGCCTAGACATACTAGTGAGAAGCCACAGTTTGTCTAGACATACTAGTGAGAAGCCCCAGTTTGCCTAGACATACTAGTGAGAAGCCACAGTATGTCTTGACATACTAGTGAGAAGCCACAGTTTGTCTAGACATACTAGTGAGAAGCCACAGTTTGCCTAGACATACTAGTGAGAAGCCACAGTTTGTCTAGACATACTAGTGAGAAGCCACAGTTTGCCTAGACATACTAGTGAGAAGCCACAGTATGTCTAGACATACTAATGAGAAGCCACAGTTTGTCTAGACATCTTAGTGAGAAGCCACAGTATGTCTTGACATGCTAGTGAGAATCCACAGTATGTCTAGACATACAAGTGAGAATCCACAGTATGTCTAGACATGCTAGTGAGAAGCCACAGTATGTCTAGACATACTAGTGAGAAGCCAGTTTGTCTTGACATACTAGTGAGAAGCCCCAGTTTGTCTAGACATACTAGTGAAAAGCCACAGTTTGTCTTGACATACTATTGAGAAGCTAAAGTTTGTCTAGACATACTAGTGAGAAGTGCCAGTTTGTCTAGACATACTAGTGAGAAGCCACAGTTTGTCTAGACATACTAGTGAGAAGCCACAGTTTGTCTAGACATACTAGTGAGAAGCCACAGTTTGTCTAGACATACTAGTGAGAAGCCACAGTATGTCTAGACATACTAGTGAGAAGCCAGTTTGTCTAGACATACTAGTGAGAAGCCACAGTATGTCTAGACATACTAGTGAGAAGCCACAGTTTGTCTAGACATACTAGTGAGAAGCCACAGTTTGTCTTGACATACTAGTGAGAAGCCACAGTTTGTCTTGACATACTAGTGGGAAGCCACATTATTCACAACAATCACTATACTATTGTGTCTACTCACACCTCCAAGTGTAGTTGACAGAAAATGGATACATGTTTTGTTTCATTAAAAGTCATAATTGGTGTAGCTGAACAATTACTTGTCAACAAACTGTTTTCGCAGTGAAAATGGCAAGATCGCGCGAAGCCTCATCGGTGACAGGTCAAATTGTTCCATACATAAAAACTATCTGGCAATACACTAAAGTGCAGGCGCATAACCTTAGTTATGATCATAAATATTTTACATTGATAGAGCAAAACCTGCAATTGAAATGATGCAATGCTAGAATATATTTCTGGTTATAAAAATAGTAGTTTCTACTACTATATTGTTCCTATCTTTGCATCAGAATTAATCTCCCTATATATTATTGTATGTTTTAACTAAATCACTGGTAGTCGGGGGAACGTGTGCACAGCTGATTGCTATTTCCAGCTCTGTGTACGAGACAAATACACACGGTAATCTTAATCCCTGCATATAATACAATGCCTAGCAAAACAAATTAGAACTGAAAAGGTAAATAATCTTGTTTAGTGATGTTTAATTGCAAATTTGACGTCTTTACTGACAAAGTCGTCTTCTGTTGTCTGTTCATGCGAAGTGATTCGAAGTCGCTTTTTCTTACCCCTGAAAAAAGTACGGTAAAATATATCGGTAACTCATCATTGGCAGTGTCTCTGTAACGCACAAAAGTTGTCCTATCCAGACCGCACTTTACAATACAGACAAATGAGTAAGTCCCAGGCCAGGTCCGTAACAGACAGATTCCACTGTAATGACTTTAACAAGATAACGGCGTTAATAGGATTGTTATTTCATCCTTTGATTCTGAGCATTATCTTTGAAATTGTGAAATTAATGTAAATTTGAGCTGTTTCTAACCATTTTTCTAAACTTTTCCAAATTTTGAATACCGGATCACAATACCAAAACAGGTGTTCTAAAGTTTCTCATTCTTTATTACAAAAACGGCAAAGGGGTGATTCCGATATCTTTATTTCTAGACATACTAGTGAGAAGGCCCAGTTTGTCTAGACATACTAGTGAGAAGCCACAGTTTGTCTAGACATACTAGTAAGAAGCCCCAGTTTGTCTAGACATACTAGTGAGAAGCCACAGTATGTCTAGACATACTAGTGAGAAGTGCCAGTTTGTCTAGACATACTAGTGAGAAGCCCCAGTTTGTCTAGACATACTAGTGAGAAGCCACAGTTTGTCTAGACATACTAGTGAGAAGCCACAGTTTGTCTAGACATACTAGTGAGAAGCCACAGTATGTCTAGACATACTAGTGAGAAGCCAGTTTGTCTAGACATACTAGTGAGAAGCCACAGTTTGTCTAGACATACTAGTGAGAAGCCACAGTTTGTCTAGACATACTAGTGAGAAGCCACAGTATGTCTAGACATACTAGTGAGAAGCCAGTTTGTCTAGACATACTAGTGAGAAGCCACAGTATGTCTAGACATACTAGTGAGAAGCCACAGTATGTCTAGACATACTAGTGAGAAGCCACAGTTTGTCTAGACATACTAGTGAGAAGCCACAGTTTGCCTAAACATACTAGTGAGAAGCCACAGTTTGCCTAGACATACTAGTGAGAAGCCACAGTTTGTCTAGACATACTAGTGAGAAGCCACAGTTTGCCTAGACATACTAGTGAGAAGCCACAGTATGTCTAGACATACTAATGAGAAGCCACAGTTTGTCTAGACATCTTAGTGAGAAGCCACAGTATGTCTTGACATGCTAGTGAGAATCCACAGTATGTCTAGACATACAAGTGAGAATCCACAGTATGTCTAGACATGCTAGTGAGAAGCCACAGTATGTCTAGACATACTAGTGAGAAGCCAGTTTGTCTTGACATACTAGTGAGAAGCCCCAGTTTGTCTAGACATACTAGTGAAAAGCCACAGTTTGTCTAGACATACTAGTGAGAAGCTAGTTTGTCTAGACATACTAGTGAGAAGTGCCAGTTTGTCTAGACATACTAGTGAGAAGCCACAGTTTGTCTAGACATACTAGTGAGAAGCCACAGTTTGTCTAGACATACTAGTGAGAAGCCACAGTTTGTCTAGACATACTAGTGAGAAGCCACAGTATGTCTAGACATACTAGTGAGAAGCCAGTTTGTCTAGACATACTAGTGAGAAGCCACAGTATGTCTAGACATACTAGTGAGAAGCCACAGTTTGTCTAGACATACTAGTGAGAAGCCACAGTTTGTCTTGACATACTAGTGAGAAGCCACAGTTTGTCTTGACATACTAGTGGGAAGCCACATTATTCACAACAATCACTATACTATTGTGTCCACTCACACCTCCAAGTGTAGTTGACAGAAAATGGATACATGTTTTGTTTCATTAAAAGTCATAATTGGTGTAGCTGAACAATTACTTGTCAACAAACTGTTTTCGCAGTGGAAATGGCAAGA